AAACATACATGTAAATGGTTTTTATTCGGGAGATTTTTTTATATACACTTCCTATCTGTATTTATTTTTAACGTATTGCATTACAATGTTAACCCATTGTCAAGCATTATATTAGTATATTATTATAATTAGACCAAATGATTAGAAGCGCTGTAGTGTTTTAATAATGACATGATTTGCCATTGTTTATATACAATACTTTTATATTTAAACATACATGTTGTTCAATGTCTCAGAAATATAGCGCCAACTTGGCGTCCTTGTCTTGGCATCCTCGCCACCGTCTCTTGTAACCCCAAACAGTTGAAATTTGGTTGTTGATCTTATAGCAATAGCGTGCTCGTAGCACCAATGATAATGCAATTTTATATACAGTCCATATGCTATTTTATTCATTTGTTATCAAACGAACCAGTATAGAATCAAATCGAACTCAGGTAATGGGTTTTCCTTCAGGGGATTTTTAAAATACTTCCTATTTATATTTATTTTTAACGTATTGCATAAGAATGTTAATCAATTCATACACTATCATAAACAAGTGCAAACCGGGGTCAGTCATCTAACAATAAAGTTGTATAGTATCACCTGATAATTATATATTTANTAGTTTTCCAATGAAGATATATATACACACTCACATACAATAAGTAGCCATCACCCCAATGTAGGAAATTTGGATAGATTTATGATGGTCCAAAAAAGAATTGTTTTGATGGTATATTCTTGAGAACCAACAAAAATTACCTTGAAACCATCGTAGAAACCCATAGGTATAACCATCATGGGCTATGAGAATCAAACTTCCCCTGACCGTTAACCATCATAGTATTAAAGTAGCATTTTCCATCATGGAATTTAGTTGGCATATCAAATATCAGGAAATGTTGGATGATGGTGACCATCAAATGATGTTAGACCATCATGAATCTCACTGAAACCAACATAAGCCAACAATTTTTTTTTGATGGGACCATCAAAAATTCTGACTTGGGATGCCTTGCATTTACCCTATATACACACTATATATATATATACACTATAAATTACACCATAAATGCAATTATATTGCTATCTAGACAAATGAAGTATTATGTTCGGGATACTTTTTAAGGGTGTGAATCAATTAGACAAAATTCAACACTATATGACTTATAGTTTAAAAGTTGTAATCCTTTCATGTACAGTGAGCCAAAAGAAAAAAACAGACCACCCTGAATAACTTTTGGTCTAACGATCGGATCTTTTATTACTAGATCTTATTGGTTCAAGAGGGTGAGTTCAAATATGCTAATTAATTACCGCAGATGATAATTTATATTACGAAATCTAAATTAATGACGTACTTTCTCTGAATAGACATACCTTTTTTTTGACGGATTCGGATTTCTGTCCCCAAATTTAGGAGGTAGCCGCCATCTGGGAAATAGGGTCCCTAAAGTTTGCTTAGGAGAGCGGTTTGGACCCCTTAAGGTTAATTTTACTTTTTTAGCATTTCACTGAACTTTTATGAGAATTGTAAAATTTTTGCACTCAATTATAAAATCCGTTTATCTTAATATAATTCCATGAAAAAAATTAATTTTAGTAGGAATTTATTATTTTTATTAATAGTCAAAGAAATGTTAATTTGTATGGTATAATTTTTTTTACATCGTCTAAATGTAATTTTATACTGAAAAATAGGAAATTTTAGCGAATAGTTCCTGAAAAATAGAATTTCAAAAAAGTCAGTTACTAAAAATTCGATTTCATAGGAAGTATTCCACTGATTTAGTGCAAAATTTATATTTCCCCCCATAAAATTACATTCTTTCAAAAGATGCAAAAAAAAATCGCTCATTCTTAAGTTTAATATTACACAATTATAAATATTTACTAAAAGTTATTTTTAGCGCGGAATTATCTTTCAATAAACGAATTTTATAACTGCGTGCAAAAATTTTTCGATTCTCTTAAAAAGCTTTCGAGTTCCGCAAAAAGTAAAATTAACATTAAGGGGTCCAAACTTCGGATCGTTCTACTGATCAAACTATGGGGACCTTATTTCCCAGATTGCGGCTACCCCCTTTATTTTGGGGACAGAAATCCGTCCAAAAAAAAAGGTAGGTTTATTCAGAGAAAGTAAGTTTTCGTTTCTGATTTCGTGACTTAAAATATCGTCGGAACTGAATAATTATCATATTTGAGGTCGCCCTTTAGAGCCATTAAGATTGAGTCCAACCCAATTCAAAATTTTTGATGGCTATCCATTGATGGTTATCCATGAACCATCAAAACAATTTGATGGGACCATGGAGAATTTTGACTTGGCTGTGTTGGTTACCATCAAAAAATATAATGGTTCATGATGGAATTATTGATGGTTGCCATCAAGATTATGTTGGTCCATTAATAGAAAATCATTACAAATTTTGAGTTGGGTAATGCCTCACTTGTCTAGATAGCAATAAAGTTCGCCCTCAAGTCAAGGTTTCGCCTTCGAGTCATGCTGTTTCTACCATCGACTAAAATAGAGAGGGTACTCTAAAAGATTCATTACTCAAGTTTTGAATTGTATTATTACTTCAATCTTTTAAAATTATAAAAAAATTTAAAATCCGGTATAAAATGAGAAAGGATCATGATGATTGTATTATACCAATGGATGGTTGACTGAATAGCAATCTTTCTAAAACCGGAATAAATTTAGAAAACTTCCGGTGTATCCTTCCGCTTATGTTATAATGACGAGGCGATGCGTGACCAGGCTTAGTATTCTAGGACGTTTTATTATTGTGATTTTATTTCAAATTTGCGTAATATTTTACCATTCATAAGAGTTTTCTGTGATTTATAAATTCTAACAGGTCATAAAACTAATTTAACAAAAATTAATATCCCAGCGTGTAAGATTAGCCATGTTTCGAGCCCTTTTTTGACTATATTTGTGTAAAATAGTACCGTTTGTTACTTTTTAAGTAGGATTATAGCAAGCTTGCGGAATCTTCCGATTTCATTTGTTGTTTGTTTCGCTGAAATTTAAATTGATATTGTAAACACTATTATTATATTAATATTGGATGGTGCAATTTCCAAGCTTAGGGGGTAAAAATCACTCGAAAGTAGTAATCCGGAATCTTACGACGAATTTTAACCCCTAGGGCAGGGGTGGCGAACCTTTATACACTAACGTGCCATTTTTTCTAAAAAATTGTTTAATGAGGTCATAGACGTGCCTTCAAATAATTTTGACTTCGTGAATATTGGGAAAATAGTAATACTAAACACTATCAACTCAAAACTCTTTATTTACATTGAAAAAAAAATACATTTTGCCATGTCTTAAAACAACTTAAAGTAACATCAGTGTAACTTCTGTTGTTGCAGATTCGATGACAAATAACTTATATTAGGCTGTAAGACGTTAGTTTAAGCAGGACTGTTATTTTTTTTTTGCTAGTTTTTTATGGTTATTAATTGTTTATTATTTTGTTTGTTTTTTGTGAATTTTAATTTAATTGTTACATATGCTGCATAGTGTAATAACAATTGTGACCGGTGGCGTGCCCAAAATATTGTGTCTCGTGCCATAAATGGCACCCGTGCCATTGGTTCGCCATCCCTGCCCTAGGGCCATCTGTCCTAGTCAATATTTATGATAGTTTTCCAATGAAGGACCAACATTATAGTAAGGGTAACCATAAATAATTCCATTATGAACCATTATATTTTTGATGGTAACTAACATAAGTAGGCATTACTCTAATGTAGGAATTCAGACGGATTCATGATGGTCCAACATAAGAATATTATCTTGTTTTGATGGTTTGTTCATGTTGGAACCATCATGAACCACCATCATCCCAATGTAGGAATTCAAACTGATCTATGATTGGCCAACTTAAAAATTCAATTTATTTTGATGGTATATTCCATCCAAGCTATTTGGTTTGTTTTTCCCATTAAGCCATCCTGACAATGCATAATTGGAACCATCATGAACCATCGCGGATTGTTGGTCTATGAGAATCAAACTTCGCTCGATGGTTCACCCACCATAGTATTAAAGTAGCATTTTTCGTCATGGAATAATGGAAGTTTCGTAAATGAAAATGTTGGTTGATGGTGACCATCAAATGTTGTTGAACCATCATGAATCGCAATGAAACCAACATAAACCCTAAATAATATTTGTTGGAACCACCAAACTTTGAGGTGGGTGTGCTTAGCTTTACACGGTCCACTATACATTACCTCATTTTTTTAAAAAGTATAAAAAATTAAAATTTCGGGAAAAAATGAGAAAATTGTGATTGCATTACACCATTATTCTTGTAAATCTTTACTATGCAAGATGTGTGTTTGCAGCTGAGGAAGGGTCATTTTCAGTGCTTCCGGTTCACTAGCACTTACGATCACCGTCGGCGGTGAATTGGAATCTGATGGGTGGAAAATACAGGGTCATTCAAAATAAATAAAGCGATTACAAACAATTATAACTATTGAATGAAAAATAATTTATCCATAAGATTAACACAGAAATGTAGATGGATCTTCTACATTTCCTGCTCATGCGCGAAAGTTCATTCATGAAAACGGCCGTGCAGACAGATAGCTTCTGTTCTTGGTAGCCGAGATCTTCGAACTTGACACCCTGCGATTTCTATATCCATGGATTTATGTGAAATACAGGGTATGTGCTGACATACTATGCCAAAGTGTAAGTGCTTCCAAAACATTTGCAGAACTCAAAAACCGAGCTTGCGTCGGCGCAGATGCTTTAGAATGAAATGTACTACCGCCTGCATGTTGTCTGTGTTATCAAGAGAAGTAACATAGAAAATCTGTGACGCATGGATACTACGAAAGTTCCATCGACATTCTGTGCAAATTATTTTTCATTAAATAGTTAGAGCCGTTTTGAATGACCCCGTATTATCCCGCGAAACAAACTCACAAATTCAGGTTCTTTGGGAGCATGCAGTCCCTTACTCATTGTTATTGTTTTGTTTTAACAGAATTCAAAGAAGCTTTCGGTCTTTTTGACCACAACGGAGACGGATCCATAGAGGCTGCCGAATTGGGAGTCGTGATGCGGTCCTTGGGACAGAGGCCAACAGAATCAGAGCTGGTCAACATGATAAGGCTCGTCGATCAAGATGGTTAGTACATTGTTTTAATTATCCGTGTCATTTCTAAAAATAAATACACATGTTTTCGAGACAGGTTCACTACTTCATCTTACTAACGTCCTGGATCCTGTGCAATGTTAATGCTACGACTATGTTTTTAAATTTCAGTAGAGTTAAATTTTCAATTTCGCTTCGACAATTTTCGCTCAATTTTGCTTCTTTTATCTTTGACAATTTTGTTCGATTTAATAACAGTCGTTGAGCAGCCGACCCAATTTTTTGGGTTTGCGACAACCCATGCTCAACTCCGTAGCCTTGTCATTTTTTACCCAATCCAGAAGACAAAGCAACTCCTGCGTCAAGTACTGGGGAGAAATTTGCCTTCGAGGAGGACTTTATTGGATGGAACTAATCCACATTTACATTAGATGAGGAGGAAGACCACGAGAACATCCCACGGATAACCTGGCGGCAAAGGAACTCTTACTCATGATCCGCATACCACTGAGGATATTTAAGTCAGCACTGTGGTCGGTGCAAGACGGGTGCGGATTCGTATAAACCGCTCTATTGGTATATTTCAATTGCTGACACAAAATACGCGCAACCTAATAATAAAAAGGTTAGTTGTTAGAACGTATGTCGTGAGTTCGATCCCCTCGGGACGAAGACTCCCAATGTAGTAGTAAATGGTGACTGGTGTGCGTTAAATGTAACGGCTCACAAAGTCTTCTATGTTCACATAGGAAATCATACCTCTACTGAATTGGAATTGGATCGTTCCCTGATTCAGGTCAAACTTACGTTCTGCGCATTGTCTTGAGTTTCCACATCAAAGTAATTTTGTATGACTCACGAATTTAATATTTTATCGATTGCCCAACAAGATGAGAGCAGATGACGTCCTACAAGCTTCAGCTGGGATGGAAGTCCTATTCAAAAACTGGAGGGGGGGGGATCCTATGTGCCTCCCATACCACATGGTGTCCAGATAGTGTACCAGATAGCTCTTTGTATTTTTGGTTAAGAAATGTTCTTATTGATAAATGGAAAAAACAGCAATGATCACTGTGACTATTAAGATTTTTCTTCAACTCAATTTCAAAAATGTGAAAATTTTTGTAGTTTAAAAATAGTGTTTCAATTTTTGAAAAGAAAGAAATTCAGTCTCATTAAACTGTAAATATTACTTAAACTGTGTTTTTATATATTAATTTTTCATTATTTTTCTGAGCGTTGCAAAATATCCAGTCATTGCCATCGGGGTTTTTTCTCCATGTATTGCGGGTTAGTTACATCAAAAAGTTCTCCACGCAGGCAAATTTCTCTCAATCCTGGAGTTCCCTTGTCTTCTGGATTAGGTTCAAAATGACAAGGCTACAGCGTTGAATATGAGCAGTCTCTGCTGTTCAATGACGGTTATAAAATAAAATGAAATAACTTAAACAAAAGCAAGTGTATTCAATCTTTCCATGAAGACGTTGTAATGGACATTAAAATAATACCAAACGGGACTTCCTGAATCGGTCGTTATAATGGAATGGTCGTTATTGTGGGGATATATAATGGAAGTCAACAATGCCGACTTTCATTTATCAAAAGATACCTTAAGATTCAATTGAATGAGTATGTCTTATATCTCGTACTTGGGAATTGTTGTTTAATATTATTCGTAATGGTAGTTACGGCACAATACGCCAGAATTTTATCAGGGATGGAATTCAATGAAGGGATACCGCTAGTTGCCGCATTTGCGTAAGACCGAGAGAGCTGTGTTAAGTTCACCGGATTTTTAGCGCTTGTGGTGAAAGCTGTATTAAGCTCACCGAGTTTTGTGTGTTCACTGTTGTGTATCCGATAATGCAATCACAAATAGCAAGTCAGTGAATTCAGTGAGGACCATTCATCGAAGTTGTCGTGATCTTATCACGTCCGGGTCACCAATGTGGCGGTTGCAGCCCAGATCTTCTTTTACGTTTCCATCAGAATGAGGGACTGATTGGTGCATCTGATGATGATGTGATATGATTATGGGATATCAACGCTACTGCAAAACAATAGCCACTGGTCATACTGCAGTTGTAGTATTCAGGTCACCACAAAAATGTTACTTTGATGGAACTCATACTGAAGGACTGTATAGGGAGTGGGCGATAAATCGATGCATCGGAAAATATCGATTCTATGCAACCATCACCGATGTTAGGATTCGCAATTTTTCGAAGCATCTGAAATTGTGATTTTGAGTAAGTCAACAACTGAAGTAAATAAAGAGATGCATAATATGCATTGCAGTTAGTACAGTGCAGAACCTCTTATCAGGAAATCAGAAAACCGGAAAACCATATAACCGGAATGAAATTCGGAACCGGAAATTAATTTTCTTCCATAAAAAAAAGAAAAATTTTCCTGCAAGATTTTGAGCCCATTTTGTTATTTAGAGCGTACAGCGTATCGAGTTGACGAAAGAACTGATTTAGAGGACGGATCAAAAGCCGTTTGTAGACGAATCTCACATAAGCACATATGTTATTAATGTTAATAATAACATTAATAACATATATAAGCCTGTATATAATTTTTATTTCATAATTTCTTTCCTTATTTAAACTTAAGTGTATTATTATTTATCATTTTTAATTATTTCTAAAACTGTTTCAAAATAATTTTTTAGTTTCGTTTTATAAACATTAAAAAAACGGCATTTTGTAGCGATTCAGAAAACCGGAAAAATCAGTTATCCGGAATCGCGATGGTCCCGATCGTTCCGGATAATCGCTTCTCTACTGTATAAGCTTCATTTAACCCTTTCGCAGCATTATAATTTGAGTATGAAAAGCAGTTTATGTTATGTTAATACAGTTCCTGGCCATATTATTAGACACACTCTTAAGATTCTATGTAAAATTATAGTTGTCAGGTGATACTCTATACAGCTTTATTGTTTTTATCCGACTGTTTGCACTTGTTTACGTTCGTGTATCAATGGGTTAACATTGTCATGCAATAGGTTAAAAATAAATATAAATAGGAAATATACAAAAAAAAAATCTGAATAAAAACCCATTTCATGTATATTTAAATATTAAAGTATTGCTTATAAACGCGTGCGAATCATGTCATTATTAAAACACTACAGTGCGTCTAATCATTTGATCTCATTATTATTATATATTAATATAATACCTGATATAACAAATATTCTATATTTATATAATATATCGTCTCATTCATCCGATCGTCCAATTTATATTATCTATCGCCTCATTTAACCCATTGATACACGGAACGTAAGCAAGTGCAAACAGTCGTTGTAAAAACACTAAAGCTGTATAGACTATCACCTGATAATTAAGATTTTACATAGAATCTTAAGAGTGTGTCTAATAATTTAACCAGGGACAGTATATATTATATTTATTACCAGCAGCAATTGTTCCCACTAATTGATTCGAATCGCCTTCACCGTGGTGATTCTTTGACTCTGGTGCACTGTCTTCTTTAGGATAAAAAAAAAAGAACATTCGTTAAAAATATATATATACTGTGGCCTAACTACCACTAAGAATAATATTGAACAACTATTCAAGAGACATGTTAACTAATTTACATGTTAGTATATATGTTATCGAGTAAGCATGTCTTAGTAAATTGTTGTTTAATATTATTCGTAGTGGTTAACCAGTTTACTTGTTATTCATGACTACGATATCATGTTCTCCTGCTTATCACTCTCATTTACGCACAAAAACGGGATCCTACAAACACTCATATCGACACAGGAGAGTCCACACACGTACAACCGTAAACCTAATACAGCTCCCACTACAAACGCTCAAAAACTAGTTGAACTTAATACAGCTCTCACCACATGCGCTGAAAAATCTGGTGAACTTAATACAGCTCTCCCGGTATTTCGCAAGTACGGCAACAAGTGGTATCTGTTCATCGAATTCTATAAAATTCTGATGGGGGAGTATTGTGGCGTAACTACCACTACGATTAATAAACATCCATTTACTAGTATATAAGACATGCTCACTCGATTCAATCTTGGGGTATCTTTTGATAGATGAACATTGGAGCCATGATGGCTCAGGGGATAGAGCGTTCACCTTCCAATGATGCGAACGGGGTTCGAATGAAATTGATACGAATTCCGCATCCGGCTTGTACCGATCACAGTGCTGACGTGAAATATTCTCAGTGGTAGACGGGTCATGGGTTAGAATCCCTTGCTGTCGGGCTAACCGTGGGAGGTTTTCCTCTCCATGTAACGCAAATGTGAGTTAGTTCCATCAAAATGTCCTCCACGGAGACTAAATTTCTCTCACTATTTGATCCTGGAGCAGAGTTGCCATACGTAGCATTTCGAATACTACTGTAGTATTTTTTCACTAAAAAATAGGGATGTAATATTTTTCGTTGGAATTCAAAAAGTGGTATATTTATGTTTTTTTTGGTATATTATATTTATTAAAAGTGGTATATTTAGTTTTTTTTTTTAAAATGGTATATTTATGTTTTTTTTTTCTTTTATCAATTTTTATATCAAAGAGAAGTGGCACTGTTTTTGAAATAAAAAGTGATTTTTGAAATAAGCCAACTGGATACATCTCGATTTTTATGATGCCAGATATGGAAGCCACAAACTAAATGCGAATCATTCTAGCTTGGCGTTGTTTTAAATAGCGGTCGCCGTGGAAATCAAGATGCACCACTAACCGTTCGTTTTATACTATTAGCTATATCTAGTGATGATTATAAGAAATAATAATTAATTTATTCCTTATCTGTAGATTATAATATAATATAACTTGCTACGGAGTTGAACATTAGTAGTCGTAAACCCTAAAAATTAGGTTGGCTGTTCAACGACGGTTATAAAATCAAATGAAATAGATGAAGGTTTTCGATGTACTCTATACGATGCAGATTTATGTTACCTTAAAAAATAATAAAAATGCACAACGAAGAAAAATGAATATGCCCGTGAGGAAAAACTTTTTCTCTTTTCCCCCTATCGTCATTGTTGTTATCTTCAAACGGGGAAACTTCTAAAAAAAGGAGAGACTTTTTTTCTTTTCTTTTGGCTCTCAACCAAAACTTCTTCAAAAGAGATTCACAATTTTTAAAGTTGGGACACAACATTTTTCCCCTCTTGTTATTGTTTTATTACCTCTCGATTCTCTCTCTGCAAACACTGATGCAAAAGTTTTTTTGGAAAAGAACAGTTCTTCCGACGGCCGTTGTGATAAATAGTTATAATTCACACAAAAAAAAATGAAATGGGGTAAGAAAATGTATTTACATGGAAGTCGGCAAAAGATTGTATATGGTTTTTGATAAAGTGAAATTGGGTTCTTTAAAATTAATCACGCAGTTCTACGGAATTCAAAAAGTATGTCTGTAAAAACTTTTGGAGTATCTTTACAAGAAAAATGGTGGCAACTACTTTACATTAAAATGTTTATACCGTTTTGCACTTCGAATCAGAATTAGTTAAAGATGTCAGTGTTCTCGATTATTCCATAAAACAACTTACAACTCACAAAAGTATTTATTTTACAGTTCTATTTACAAAAATTTAAAATACTAGCTTCATTAATAAAACTCGACATACTCAAAGATATAAAATGGAGTAAATATAAATATAATGAATGCTCAAATATAAACTCAAACCCATTTTGTTTCTTCTGCACAAAAAAGAGCGAACAAGCTCAAAAAAACAAAACAAACCATTACCATAGCAACTTAATTTTATGAACTACATCAAAGTTAAAATTTAAGCAGACGATAATTCTTCTACAGCAGTGTTTCAACCAAGAATGCAGTGGAAGAATGTTCTTTCTTTCTCTACTTGTTGTGAAGTAGTCACCACCATTTTTGTTATTCAATTATTTTGTTATTATACAAAAATGGTGCTATTATTGCTATATGAGATGGTATTAATGGATGGCTGCGGAAGGCTGATTTAACTTACAAGTTATTTTCTTGAAACTCTTCTCAATTTCTTTTCCGTCAATCGAATTAAAAAGGTTATTCGTGCAAACAAAATTAAATTTCATGATCTCTGTAAATGGCTGGAGGACGTCCCTGCCGATGGACTATAAATCTCTTTGAGTTTAGTAGAAACGATTGATAAAGACTGCATGAGTTCTAAATGAACAGAGCTGCCCTAGTCAAAATTCTTGATGGTCGCCATCGTCCAACATTTTCCATTCTGTGCTCATGAGGCTTGATATACCAACAGACTATCATCATTCCATGATGGAAAATGCTACTTTAATACTATGATGGTTAACCATCTAGAGAAGTTTGATTTTCCTTGACCAACAATCCGTGATAGTTTCAACTCTATATTTCCATGATGGTTTAAAAGGGAATTCTTCTTAGTTCTCAGGAATTTAAGCAATTTAAAAAAATTTATGTTAGACTGTCATACATCAGTCCGAATACATTGGGGTGATGGTTCAAAAAATATAATAAATATAATGTAATATACCATCAAACATTATAATGGTTCATGATGGTTACCGTCAAGATTCTTTTGATCCATCCATGGAAAACCATCAAACATTTTGACTTGGGTGCACATGTATATACACTATAAGGCCAAAAGCATCCGGACACCCGGTTATTAGGGTGATGGACGAGGCAGACGTGGTTTGATTGTTGGACTGTCTTTCTCGGAGACCCACAGAAAACACCTCAGGCAGGGATTGGATGATCTCCTCACAATTGTGGTGGAAATCAATACCCATCAAAAACTGCTGTCATCGATGCCAAAAGGGGACCAACATCCCAGATAGCAAAATAAGGTTTATTTTCACTCAACAAAAACCTTTTAGCGTAAACCTAAAAAGGTTTGTAACACGGTTTACGTGTAAACCTTCTACCCTTGAAACGAGATCTGTGACTATCTGCTCTATTCTACGCACATTACTAAATAAAAACCTTAAATCGAGGTGGACTTAGGGTTTTCAAGCAAGAAAAAAAATCCTTTACAAAAGCTAGTCTCAAGGTGAAAATAATCTTAAATCTAGGTAATTATAAGGTTTCTTTTCGCAAAGTCTTGCACATTCAGCTAACATCCACCTTGTCTTGAAATTTTAATGGACAATGCAATTGGGTATAATATAAAAAAAACACAACTACTTCCACTTAGTAGGAATAACATTTACCATGACGCAATGCTAAATTCTATGCCACTATCCACATAAATCGAATATCAATTACTTTTCTTTGTAATGCAATAAAATCTGGCGAGCAGCTATTTAAACGATCAAACACTTCGTTTGTTTATTTGTGGCTTGAAGTTAGGCTCGCAGAAAATGCCGTTCATGGGTTAAATTTAGTAGGAATAACACAACCTGTGACGTAGGCTATAGTATACCCAATTGGATCCTATCGCTAGTGTGACGTTAGCTAAAACGTCATGATGGGCCTAATGACAACAGTACATTTTAAAAAGCTTTTGAAAAATAATTTTGAATCCTTTCAGGATGAAAGGTTTGAAACTGCAATAGTTTTGATTTGTTGAAAAAAGGTTTTTAGTACAAACATTTTCGTGTCACTAAAAAGAAAATTCTGACACAAGGATTGCCTATAAGGTTTACATGCTTTCTGGGATGTCCGGATAACTCTTTTGGCGGCCAGACTATTGGTAGAACTACTCTTTAATTTTTGTTGTTGACAGGCAATGGAACGATTGAGTTCAATGAGTTCTGCTTTATGATGTCCAACAAGATGAAGGAGAGGGACAGCGAGAAAGAACTGAAGGAGGCCTTCAGGGTGTTCGACAAGAATGGAGATGGTTTCATCTCGGCTCCGGAATTGAGGCACGTCATGACCAATCTGGGAGAGAAACTGACAGACGAGGAAGTGGAGGACATGATCAAAGAAGCAGACCTGGACGGTGATGGACTCGTCAACTATGACGGTATGTTGCTTAGCGCCAACCTACCACCACGATTATTGAACATCCATTCACTAGTCTATAAGACATGCTAACTCGATTCAGTCTTGGGATATTTTTTCCCTAGATGAAGATTCTTCGCGTGGTCGATTACTACTTTCACCACATTGGAGTTGCTGTGGTGAGTGCTGTATTAAGTTCACCGTGTTTTTGTGCGTTTGTAGTGGAAGTTTTATTAAGTTTACGGTTATGTGTAAGGTCACTTCTGTTTTGCTATGAGCAGGGCGAGGAAGTCAATGACGCAGTCACAAATAGCAAATCAACTTTTCAATGTGCACCCTTCATCGAAGTAGGCGTGTTCAAATCACATCCGGGTTATCAATGTGGCAAAAGTTATTATGGACCACGCCAACCTTCATCTATCAAAAGGTTCCCCGAGATTATATCGAGTTAGCATGTCTTATATACTAGTGAATGGATGTTTAATAGTCGTAGTTGTAGTTACGCCGCAGTGACCTATTCTAAACTGTTTCTACTTTCATAAAAAAAGTATGCAATTTTAACTGAATGTAAACAATAACAAGCTTCCTAAAACGGGAAGAAATTCAGAAAACTTCCGGTGTATCCCTCCGCTTACGTTATGCTTACGAAACGATGTGTGTACAGGCTTAATATTCTAGGAAGCTTTATGAATTTGATTTATGTTTAAAGTTACGCTTCATTTTTACCATTCATAAGAGTTTCCTGTGATTTATAAACTCTAACAGGTCATGAAACAAATTTTAACAAAATTAATATCGCACCATAAATCAAGTGTAAGGTTTGCCATCTTATCCTTTAGTTCAGTGGTTCTTAACCTTTTTAAGCAGCGACCCAAATTTGAGAAATACGTTCATGTCGCGACCCAAAAAAAAGTCAAAATTAGGCTGAGTAAGCCACAATGACTTCTTCTAGGAGGTGTTGGTATTACTTATTATTTGGTGTATTACTAACTTTTTGGTTCGACTCAGCGTGACCCAAGAAATATGCTTCGCGACCCAATTTTGGGTCGCGACCCATAGGTTAAGAACCGCTGCCTTAGTTGACTATATTTGTGTAAAGTAGCACCGTTAGCTATATTTTGGGTTGCATCATAGCATGTGTCTTATGTTGTTTGTTTCGTTGAAATTCAAATTTAAAGCACGCGTTATATTATATTCACAACAAGTATGGGATATGAGCTGCAACGGCTCAGGGGATAGAGCTTTTGCCTTCCAATGAGGCGAACCGGGTTCGAATCCCAGTCGATACGAATTCCGCATCCGGCTTGCACCGACCACAGTGCTGACGTGAAATATCCTCAGTGGTAGACGGATCATAGGTTAGAGTCCCCTTGCCGTTAAACTAACCGTTGGAGTTTCTCGTGGTCTTCCTTTCCATGTAACGCAAATGCGGGTTAGCTCCATCAAAAAGTCCTCCTCGAAGGCAAATTTCTCCCAGTACTTGATCCAGGAATTTCCTTGTCTTCTGGATAGGATTCAAAATTACTAGGCTACGGAGTTGAACATTAGTAGTCGTAAACCCATGCAATTGGGTCGGCTGTTCAACGACGGTTATCTATAGATATAATAATAATATGGGATGGTGGTCTGCGTAGGCGTAAAAATCAATCGGCAAGTAGTTACCCGGAAGTTTTACGCAGAATTTTAACCCCTAGCGCCATCTGTACTTAACTTCACACGATCAATCATCCATTCATTTTATGTTTTTCTAATAATTATGGTCGTAAAATGCTCATAAATCGTAATTATGTGAGTGTGTCGATTTGCTCACCAAATCATTGAATAACGATATCTGAGCTTATTTGAAACACAAAATGTCGTATTGACATTCTTATTAAACATATTTTAACCGACTGCTAACGATTCAAACATTTGAGGAACAAACTTTTTGGCAGCTTTTATCCTGATCTTCAATATTTTGCTTGGGGACCCTATACATCACAACATGTTAGTTTTTTGTTCTTTTTAATCGCTTTCCTTACCCATTTTTTTGAGAAAAAAATGCAAGAAATCGACATATTTCTGTTCATTAATACATGCAAAGAACTAAAACAAAACTTACTACACAAGCTCTTAGTTGAAATTTTATTTTCTTAACGTGTAAAAAATACTTAATTTATTATCCGTTTACTATATTAAATTATCTCGGGCAAATTAAAAAAGTTAAATATGAGCCTTTGTATATGTTCACAATCTGAAAAATCATCTTCATTCATTATTTTCACTTTCTCTCGCGAACGCTATTTTTTTTTAAACTCTATTTTTCTATGTAAATTTATCAACCATTGTACAGTACAGAACCCTTTATCCGGAAATCAGAAAACCGGAAAACCAAAAAACCGGAACGAAATTCGATAAATTTTCCCGCAATTTTTAAAAAAAAAATTTTTTTTTTCCTCATAAGATTTTAGGATTTTTCTTTCTTTTTTGAAAGATGTTTACCTTACCATCATTTCAGAAATAATCATTAGTGTATTACCTCATCGTTTTTTCTTATTTTTAAGATTATTTCCAAATATATTTTTTTTTAGTTGGGTTTAACACTAAAAAAACGGTATTTGTAGCGATTCAGAAAACCGGAAAAATCAGTTATCCGGAATAGCGATGGTCCCAATCGTTCCGGATAGTCGGTTCTCTATTGTATATACAATTGTGCAAAACACGTCTGTCTGCAGTCCCACACGTAGCAAAACTCCCAAACAAAAATTGGCAAACTTCCAATCACAGCAGGTTATAATTATTATTATTTGTTCTGCTTCCGGCAGAATGAACACGTGATAAAACAAAACGTAGTGACGAATTCTGCTATGGCCGAGTTTACTCGGGATAATAAATATTTGGAATATATACATACCGAGTTAACTCGGCATAATCAGGGAAGCGGTTAAGAAAATATATATATCAGTTTGTCCTAGATTTTAACCTAGTGAGTGGGGCAGTATTGCCATTTTTGACTCTTGTCCTAATTAACTCCAACTGATGGAGGTTTACTGTGTTCTGCTTACTAAACTAATGCTACAAACTCTCCGCCAGGTGCCACCTACCGGTAAAACGAAGTAACGACACTTTTCTCTCTCCGTCTACTTCAACTAAGATAGTTGCGCGGGTTCAGTTTGTGTAAAACTGGATAGATATGAAAGCAAAATCATTCTCGCGACGTGAGTGGATTATTTGGATGCTTTCTATTTCTGATTATTTCAGAATTATAAAATCGAAAGTAAAACTTTTCTTTTACACTATCTGGCCGCCAAAAAGTATCCCGACATCCAGTGACTTAGTGGCGCATATTAATAGGATGTTGGTTCCCTTTTTGAATCGATGACAGCCAGTTTCCACCAGTTTTTGAATAGGAATTGACTTCCATCACAACTGTACTTGCAGTGAGAATTTGGCTGGCTACGTCATCTGCATTCGTCCCAATGCTGTGTTCTATGGGGTCGGGGCTTTGGGAAGACCTTTTTGAACAACCATTTCGTCAAACTGTGCGATGTGTGAGATATAGGCCCGAAATATTGCCATAGAGTGCAGCATTGTCCACCATACAACTCAGAGTTTATTTTTCCAACCACAGGAACTAACAGGCCAAACCACGTGATACACCTTCACACCATTATGCGTCCCGGGATACTTATGACCAGATAGTGTATTAAGAGAAAACACACAATCACTGTGCTTTTATGTGAGCTATACTAGTCTAACTATACTAATTTTAATTGCTGGAAGGTACAGCTGAACATACTTAAAACAGATAATGCTATAAGTAAATGTAGTTTAGTATAGCTGAAATATCATCCTTAAATATCCCATAGATAGTCATTTGGTCATTTGAGTAGTCACCATTTCCGAAAATAAGAAACAAAATTCACTGGATTTTCCCAATTTGTAAAAAATAAATAAATGAATGAAAATAAAATTTCCTGTTGTTTTAGGTGATTTTCAAATTGCCTGGTCTTTTCTCTTTTTCAGATAGTGTATTATCCATTATACTCAGCATGTATCATTTTTGTTCCAGAATTCGTCAATATCCTGACAGGAAAACAGTGATGAACCAGCCAACGTGTACATATATTTTTGCCAAGAGAACACTTTTTCGACAGAATCGAAAGTTCCACATCATTGTTGGTACATGCTCAAGACAACCCCTTCCCTTCCTTGGCATCATCGAGAGATTCATGACCCGCTGTTACGAAGAATATCCTCCTATTTTTCTACAAGAAAATTCATGAAGAACCAAGAAATGAGAACAAAATGCATAGTGTCCTCTAAGAACTGAATCTTCCTTCTCCAAAGTCAAAATTTTTGATGGTTTTTAAATGGATGGACCCTCATAATCTGGATGGTAACCATCCATAATTCCATTATGAACCATTATATTTTTGGATGGTAACCGACATGAGTAACCATCACCCCAATGTAGGAATTCGGAATGATTTTTGATGGTCCAACATATGAATAGCAACTTGTTTCGATGGTTTGTTCATGTTGACCATCAGAAATTTTCATTATTGTTTCTTAAAAATATTATGCTAGAACGATCATGAACTACTGTCATTCCAGTGTAGGAATCGGACTGATTGATGATGGGCCAACATAAAAAATCAATTTGTTTTGATCGTATATTTCTGCTGAACTAACAATAATTATTATTGAACCTTCATGGAAATATATTGTACCATTTTGGACTATCATGAATTTCCATCATAGTTTTTTTAGAAATCAAATGTTGGAACGATCATGAACAACCAATGAAGGTAATGATCTAACATAAAAAAAAATTGTTTTGGTGTTATCCCCGAGAACCAACAAGAATTCCCATGAATGTATAATTGGAACCAACATGAATTGTTGATCCATGAGGATCAAACTTCTTTTGATGGTTAACCATCGTATTCAAGTAGTATTTTCCATCATGGAATGGTAGAAGTTTGCTGGCATATCAAAAATTATGAGCGTGTAATGGAAAATGTTGGATGATGGTGACCATCAAATGATGTTGGACCATCATGAATCGCACTAAAAGCAACATAAACCATCAAAAGGTTTTGATGGGAACATCAAGAATTTTGACTTTGGTTAGTATCATGGAGATTTATGACCATGGTTTGGTTAGTATCATTTACCTCTGTCTCAATATTTGCCAAGAACATCGTGCTATTTTTCTACAAGAAACTTCATGAAGAACCAAGAACTGTGAACAAAATGCATAGTGTCCTCTTAAGAACTCAAATCATCCTTCGGCAGTCCACCCCCCTATTCCTTGTAAATAACGGGACGATTTGCTTAAAGTGGATAATAATGTTTTTCTAGTTATTACAAAGTTCCATTGTGTTTAACTCCTTCTTAATTTAACTGCAATGCTTTCTCTATAATCATTTAGTCAAATCTTTTAAAATAGTCATAACACAAAGCTTACATGACGCTATTATTCATAATATAATTCTGAAAAACTGGAATAGCGGACTGTTGTTAGACCAACAGCTATGAGTAAAGGTTGTAGAAGAGCTGTTATCATTAACTCTATTCTTAGGATAATTATGTTGCGTCCACGCAAATCATTTTGCTAAATCATCATTTGAAATAGTCAAAACACGAAGATAGCATGACACTATTATTCAAAATATAATTCTGAATAACCATAATAGTAACGTAGTAGCTAACTGTTATTGAACCAAAGGTTGTAGAAAGGCTGTTATCATTAACTCTATTCTTAATATAACCACGTTGCGTCCACGCAAACCATTTTGTAAAATCATTACTTAAAATAGTCATAACACAAAGATTACATGACACTATTATTCATAATATATTTCTGAAAAACCGGAATAGCGGACTGTTGTTAGACCAACAGCTATGAATAAGGGTTATAGAAGAGCTGTAATCGTTAACACTATTCCTAGGATAATTATGTTGCATCCACGCAAACCATTTTGTAAAATCATCACTTAAAGTAGTCAAAATGCAAAGATAGTAGCATGACACTATTATTCGTAATATAATTCTGAATAACCATAATAGTAACGTAGTAGCTAACTGTTATTGAACCAAAGGTTGTAGAAGAGCTGTTATCATAAACTCTATTCTTAAGATATAACTATGTTGCGTCCACGCAAATCATTTTGCAAAATCATCACTTAAAACAGTCAAAACACAAAGATTGCATGACACTATTATTCATAATATAATTCTGAATAACCATTATAGCAACGTAGTAGCGGACTGTTGTTGAACCAACATCTATGAGTAAGGGCTATATTTGAATGAGATGGACCGATTGACCCGATATCTTAGCCATTACTCAGCCTTTATTAAGCCACTATAGATTCAGCCTATAATCACTATTAAGCCTAAATAGAAATAAATCGTAATAATAATATGCAAGAAATCGAGTCTAACTTGGTCTAATGGTGCGCGATCTTAGTCAATCGATGTAAATATTTGCAACACCATTACATAAGTCGATTTTGAATACAACCGGAAAGATTGCTAGGATAATTCGATGATATTTAAAGTGTTGGCAATTGCCAACTGGCAACTTGACGAAAGATGAAGAAATGGCATGCAGAATTAAAGGTCTCGACGTTCCCAAGTCAGAACTTCAGACGGTTTTCCATTGAGGGACCCACGTCATCTTGAAGATAACCATACGTAATTCCATAAGGAGCATTACATTTTTTGATGGTGACCAACATAAGTAACCATCACCCTAATGTACGAATTCGGACTTATTTATGATGGTCCAACATAAGAATAGCAACTTGTTTTGACGGATTGTTCATGTTGAACCGACAGAAATCATCGTTTCTTAGAAATGAAATGCTGGAACGATCATGAACCACCTCAATGTGGAAATGCTGTCTGATTTATGATAGGATTACATAAAAAAAATTGTTTCGCTGGTATGTTCCTGCTGAACCAACAAGAATTCCTATTAAACCAACATGGATTGTTGGTCCATGAGAATCAAACTTCTCTTGATGGTTAACCATCATAGTATTAAAGTAGCATTTTCCATCGCGGAATGATGTAAGTTTGTTGGCATATCAAACACCTTGAGTACAGAATGGAGAATGATGTTGGACCATCATGAATTGCACTGAAACCAACATAAAACCATCAAAATGTTTTGATAGGAAAATCGAGAATTTTGACTTGGCGTAAGAACGTGCTTATGTTATCAAGCGTCCGGCAAAAAGAATGCCAAATAACACGTTAATTGGCGATCATTGGCTTTTTGAAAGATGACGTTTATGATATACTAACACCGGACCAATTAACCAAGTGCCTAAAAACATAGCCTTTCTTAGTAACAAAACAAGTCATTGACTTTTAAATATATTTAGGTAGCTAACAACTGAATAAGAAGGTAGATGTAGCTCAAAATTAAGTTGTAATCTTACTTTATTTGTAAATTGTAAATACCTTTTGTATTATAGTATTAGATCTTCCTCGTGAACATTAAAGTTATCTCTTAATCTAGGCGATATTACACTATCTAAGGCTAAAAGTATTTGGACACCCTGTGGTTATGGAGCGTCCTGAGGTACAACATATTTTTATGATGTTAGTCTCAATTTTCCCATCGATAATAACCTGCACACGAAGACTTTCCACCCATTTTTGATAGGAATTGACTTCCATCATAGATGGCGCTTGCATCGCGGATTTGGCTGGCCACGTCACCTGCGTTCTAATTCGTCCCAAAGGTGTTCTATAGGGCACTGAGAAGGCCAGTCCAGTTTTTGAACACCCATTTCGTCTCTGTGCAAGCCTCCCCAGATAGCAAAATGAGATTTATTTTCACTCAACAAAAACATTTTAATGTAGACCTAAAAAGACTTCATATATCTCAGAGTTTATGTTTCCAGCCACATTAACCGACCCGCAGACCAAACCGCAAGAAACACTCCCCAGACCATTATACTTCCACCACCCTAACAACAGGGTGTCCAGATAGTAAAAACAGTCCATAAGTCCCCACTCAGTAGAACTCTATAGATACAAAACATGATTCAAACATACATAATTTTTTCGATTCCTTTGAAACACGTGCTTCATTCAATGGATTAGGGTTAGTACAATTATTCTAAGTCATAGAAGTGTAAAATACTATATGCACAGATATTGGAAAGAGAAAATAAGATGAATAATTTTTGAAATCGATGGCAGACAGAACAAGCCTCCACGATCGAATGAAAGCATCCGTGTAAAGGTTTAAAAAAAAAAAAGGAAGCATCTCATTTTAGAAAAGCATTTTTCAAAAACTATTATTAAAAATAAGTATTCGAACTGCACTCTTCGATGTTATTTTACGGAAACGGCTCTCAAAGAATTTTTCGGTTGAGTTACTGATAGCTTTCTCTGACTCTCTATCGGGTTCAAAAAAGATCTTTTTAAACTGTTCGTCTGTAATATTCAAGATGAGTTAAGAATTAAATAATTCAAGAAGTTTGGAAGCATTTTGAAACCTTATTCGAATAAATTATAATGAATGCATTATTTAAACATAATTTTTTCTACAAGTATATAGGACTACATTAGTAAATTTTGTTACTGGCCATACCCAAGTGAAAATATTGGATGGTTTTCCATGGATGGACGAACTTAATCTTAACGGTGACCATCAATATTTTCGTCATGAACCATTACATTTTTTGACGGTGACCAACATAAGTAACCATCACCTCAAAGTAGGAATTCGGACTGATTTAGGATGGTCCAACATAAGAATAGCTACTTGTTTTGATGGTTTGTTCATGTTCAACCATCAGAAATTTCCATCATAGTTTCTTTGAAATCAAATGTTGGAACGATCATGAACAACCATCATCCCAATGTAGGAATTCGGATTGATTTATGATAGACCGACAGAAAAAAAAATGTTTTTGATGGTATATTCTTACTGAACCAACAAGAATTAAACCATCATTGAAATGTACAGTTGGTACCATCATGAATTATTGGTCCATGAGAATCAAACTTCTCTTGATGTTTGTTGACCATCTTAGTTTTATAGTAGCATTTTCCAACATGGAATGATGGAAGTTTGTAGGTATATCAAACACCATGAAAGCATAATGGAAAATGTTGGATGATGGTGACCATCTAATGATGTTGGACCATCATGAATCACAATGAAAACAACATAAGCCATCAAAATATTTTGGTAGGACCATCAAGAATTTTGAATTGGGTAAGCCAGTTTTAGCATTTTTAAGAACCGTCACGTTTTGAAGCATATGGTTTTTTTTTTCTTTCACAAATTTAAAATTTTGAACAATGAAAAATTCTCTTGTTGTTAATAAAGTAACTTCTTAAAATGTAAAAACCAGTTTGTCTGTAATGTTCATTAAAAGAGTTAATAAAAAAATTTTGAAGTTGAAAAAAAAAATGTGAAGCATATTTCTCAACATTAATTTCCAAAATGAATAAAAGTTTTAATGAAACAAGCGAGGAAAATTTTAAATCATTCAAAGTTAAATAAATTAATAAAAGTGTGTATTTTCGATGAAGAAGTAGCGTTGTTGATGTCGTAGGCCGTTAAGGCAAGGAGTGCGATTGTTCTTGTTTTTCCAGTGGCTCCATCTCTGGCCAACGATTCGACATGTGCCACATCCATACGTCACTCCCGTTCATAGGGCAGACCCATTCATTCATTCATCCACAAATCGTAATTTTGATCTGAATAAGAGAAAGATCCATCTCCAATTCCCCTAGCGGTATAATTTGTTATGGGAACATGGAGGACTTTGTGACCCGACAGATATAACGTGCACCAGTCACCTTTTACTACATGGGGAGTCTTCGGCTGGCTGGATTCGAACTTCCGATCTCACGAACTTGAGTCCAGGGCCCATGCCCACCAGGCTACCTCGGCCCCAAAAAGAGCGTTCATCGCTATTTATTAGATTTCTGTAACAGTTACTTTTCTCACGCAATTTAATTTAAAGAAGATGAACCCAGCATGACAGTAAATGCGTCTTTGAGCAGCCATTGTAAAAAAGTGTTTTTGATGATAAAAGTTCTCAGAATTATGTGTATTCTGTCATTCTTATCAGACGATGGTTGTTCATGATCGTGCCAACATTTGATTTCGAAGATACTATGATGGAAATTCATGATGCTTCCAACACTATATTTCCATGATTGTTTAATAATAATTCTTGTTGGTTCATCAGGAATATACCATCAAAACAATTTGTTTCTTATGTTGGTCCATCATAAATCTGTCCGAATTCCTACATTGGGATGGTTCCAACATTTGACTTCTAAGAAACTATAATGGAAATTTCTGATTTTTAATAAGAATAGCAAATTGTTTTGATGGTTTGTTCAT